ATTTAGATAACCGAACATATAACGCATTTCGGTGGATTTGGTCTAATGATTGACTATGGTCATGATGGTTCGCGTCGAGATTTGTCATTGAGGGCCTATCGAAAGCATCAGTTGGTGAATCCATTGCAGAATCCTGGTGAACACGATTTAACGGCAGACGTTAATTTTGGTTACTTGAAGAGTCTGATCGAAGATAGAGCGTTGGTGTTTGGCCCGCTTGATCAGAGGTCAGTTATTATAGAGTTGTGTTGCTGTTCACGGTCATTTGTGGTTTGTAGAATGTGCAGAGAGAGTGAAGGTTTTGATAACGAACAACAATAAAGTTTCATATGATGAAACGATGCGAAATGAAAGGGCGGATTGATTAGTGATTTGAAATGACGGTTGAGTCATTTCATTCGTTGTTACCGCACTCTGAAAGTACACTTCCAAGGGTTTTGTCATAATATCACTTCTCATGAAGTTGGCTAGCTGATAGAACTGTTATCTTCGGTTTTGTATACGAACGCAGCTATGGAACCTTCGCTTGGTTGCATCGTCAGTTTTAGGATATGATCTTGTATTTTGTGAATCATTCAATCCCAGTATAAGATTGTGATTATCAGAAAATTTGCAGCCAATTCATTCACACATTCGTTTGATTGAGAATGATTGAAGGATATTTCAAAAATTAAGAATTGCACGTCGATGTAGTGAACGGTTGCAAAATATTTGATGATTTTCAGAGAATTTCTAGCCCAACTGGGTATCGGTATTCGACTGCGTCGTTTGGTGGAGAAATGTTCGAATAGAGATGATCAAGTGAATTTGATCAAATCATACAATATGTTAATGTCAGATGAAGGTATGGGTACGCGATTCAAAGTTATGAGTGTCTATCCGAAAACACTTAAAAATATACTGGATAAGCGCGGATATCCGGCCGGTTTTGCCACAGGAGAGGGAACTTCAGAGAAGAATGAACGGTGAACGTGTCACTGGGATGAGAATAATGTTTGAGTGCTCATTTGAATTGTAATTGTACTTTTTTTGACGGAATAATTGTAATTGTAAATTGTAATATATTTTTCAAGTTGTTAATCAAAGTAAATGTTTAGTTTGACCCAATCTATGAAATCACATTTGACTGANTTTTTTTTTGTCGATTGGTTTATTTCACATGGGAGTTAACAATAAACTGTTTTTAGTTATCAAACGGAAAATTGTGCAGAGCATTCATTTCATAAAACTTTATATACAGCAACAATAAACCAATAAAATTCGAACTGAAAAGCATGAATTTTAAATGTTTTCAAAGAAAATTGAGAGATTTAGCAAGGAAAGAGCGAAGTATTTCGTTGTTAAAAGAAGAACAAATTCGTGCAATGAGCAACGTGATAAGGCATATTCATAGTATAACAATACCATATACAAATTCAATAAGTTAGTGAGGTATATTTCAGTGATTATCTTACTGTTTCAACGATACATTCAAAGCAGTCGTATAGACACAAGAAAGTGTGGTCCAAAATGGATATTGGCCGGAATCCTCAATAATTTTTTTGCTTGAAAGTAGAATAATTCGTATTTTCCATGATTCCTGGGCAAGTCCCCCCCCCCGGACGATGACAAAGGAGCGATTCGGCAAAGGTCATTATCGGAACACACTTCCATGCAACTGCAAAAATTCGAGAAAAATAAGTATCATTTGAGCATCAGTCGTTCATTCGCACAGTAAATACGCTGGAGATATGGTGAGGAACAATCTTGTAAACTTGAATAATCAATTGAAGAGACATATATAAATAATTGTGGAAGGGGTGTTAGACAAATAGTGATTCTTACAACTCATTATCAATCATGTCATTTTTTGTCCGTNCTCTAGCTCGAAATGTCTCACTCCAGTTGAAATTTCAGTTGTGAAAATGATGATAAATGAGGGCTGTCATTTCAAAAAACAAAAACGATTTGAGGTAAATTGAGCTGATTTCTCTATTTCAGCTCATGTGCTATGCCATTTGCGTTAATTTTTGTTAGATCAATTGGCGATTGGAAACTATAACACAGTTCAAGTCAAGGGGCGAATAATAATCAGTTCTGTGAATTGCTGAGGAAACGTACAATTATACCGTACAATTGTCAAGAAAACTCTTCGTACTGTTGCGACTTATATGACGATATGAACACGTCTAATCTACGAATAAATATATGCAAAAAAGAGTACACTTCACGAAAACAAAAACATTCGAAGTTCAGTTCAGGGTCGTGTAAGTGAATCAGGAAGACTTCTTATCTTATGAATTTTGTTTGAACAGTGTGGATGATTCTTATCCAGAAGCAAATGCTTCCTGACAATATGCTGATCTTGCCATGAACACTCTCGAGAACTGGCTATCCGATACAGTTCCTCGATGAAGGTGTCTTTTCAAGGCAAGATTCGTTGTCTTTTTAGCTCTACTCTATCGTTTGCGTCTTCCTTCTTCAGAGATTCGAATGAATGCTAGAGCAATACGGAGCTGAGAACAATACAAATTCCCTTATCCTCTTTATGCGTAAGAAGTTGCTCACGATGGCATTTTCTCGTTGATTTCTGTCATAAAGGCTGCCTCGAGTTCGTCGAGTGCCTGAAACGATCACTGCATTCGCTGAGCAGAGTTACGCTTACGACTCGATACAACCATAGCATGAAACTCCATTGGGAAGTAAACGGTAAGTAAAGAAACAATGAACTATTCAAGACGCAACCAACCTTCAGAGCGCATTCAGCAAGCTCACTTTCGTTATGAAACACCCGTGAAACACCTGCATCATACAATGCTTCGTGATGTTCTTCAGGTATTATTCCGAACACCATTAC